TGTGTGTGAGTGTGTTATTAGCAAGGGGGCTTTCCCGCCGTTGAAGCATCTTTACTGATCAAACAACCCATCATCCATCTCACCATGAAAAAGTCAATAAACTAAGCAACAAAACAGAGGAGCCCTTACAAGAAAAATGACTGTAAGACTGGGGTTTTCCTGTGTTTTCATCCATCTTGTTCCTGTCACCCTGTTCTCTCCCATCTTACGTTTATCCTTCTCTTGGCATCTAAATGGCGGTGTAGTTTTTGGAACGATTACATCTCTGGAAGGCCTCAGCAACGCCACTTAACCAGCACCCCACAACCTGGACTTCTTTGTCTGTCTTTGTAGTAACTTCTCCACACCTCCACAAACACACATGCACACAGAAAAGGAGCTTTTCCAGGAGGAGATTGGTTCCACTTTATCTGCATATTTAGCCTGTGTTCGGCGTGCTCCTAACTGATAACATTCTGCGAGTGTGCCAGGCCACTGCCAAACGCCAGAGCAATGACCTTCTTAGAGGAACACATTTCTTTTGCTTTGGGGGAAAAGAATAAGAGTGAAAAGAAGAAAGATTAAGACATGAAAAAAAACTGAAAGGGAGGGAAGCTAGCCAGTCAAATGCGAAGGGAATGGATCCAGGTTTAAAACAGGAAATGGAGACTAAAGTGGACACCCCTGCTATGCGTTATTCTCCATCCCTCGCTGGGTCCTCCCAGCACAGTCAGACTGCCATTTATTTATACCAATGTTGCACAGATGATTAGAAATAGCAGACGAGCTCTTCATCCACTTTTCTCTACCTACTTCTGCCAAGAGTCTACCAGCATGGAAAACACAATCATTATTATCAACCCTGATACACACAGGGAGGCAGAACGCAAGAAGTGAAGGGAACAGGGAAATGTATAGAGGCACAAGAGTAAGGAAAGAGAGAAGAACAGACACAGGACAGATAAAGAGCAACGGCAAGACTCGTCCTTCAACCCGTTCTCCCATCATGCTGCCTGACTAGTCCCAGTGTCCGTGTTTAAGCACACATCCAATACTCTTTTAGCCTTAAGATATCTTGCTGTGTATGTGTGTGTCTGATCACATGCCATTCTCCACAGCATCCGAGTCGCCCCAGGCCTGGCTCAGTCTGGCTCCACACAAGAGCGGTGGTTCACACTGTGATGTTTGTGTCTGCATATGTGCATGCGTGTGTGTGTGCATGACAAGAAGAATTCACTGGTTTGTTGTGTGTGGCAAAGACATGTTATGGTAAACCCTGATTACCCCTACCTACACAGTCACACACACATTCTAACCATAGCAACCCAGACAACAGCAGTCAATGTGCAGAGAGGTGACTGTTGGGAGCTGTATGTGAGTTGATTGAAGTATTGGGCCACGATGCCCTGACAGCCTTCCCTCAACCTTCTCTCAACCTCGTCACCTCTGTGGCTCTGCTGTGACTCTCCCCACAATGGCTGCTGCCTGCAAACCTGCCAGGCTGCCAAGGACACAAAGGCGACAGAGACAACCTTTGACATCCGAAGCTGCCACCAAAAGACCAGAGACAAGCGGAGTTGGCAGCTCTGTTAACAGGCCAGAGACCCAGATCTATTCAGCTTGGTTAAAGTAGCCAAAGTCAATAGAGCACAAGTCAATATTGCACACATACAGATGGACGTTGTGTCAAAGAGGGCTTTGATAGAACAATGTCAGACACACCACAGTTACATATATCAGTTTCAAAAAAGTAAACCGCGGTATCTCGGCTCAAAGGTTGCTGTCTTTGACCGACAGCAGTCCTGAGAAGTGATGTGACACATCCATATAAAAAAACTGACATTTGAACATGAAATACAGTATGGGTTTTGTATTAAAGACTAGATGACATTTCAAGAAGCTGATTCACTAGTAGATGTTAAGGCCAGCCACCCACACATTTCCATGTGGAACATGGTGTTTTAGTGGGCCAGACGAGATAGCAGTGTTGGAGATGTATTCACGACCATGTGGAGCATGTGTAAGATGACCTATACATTTACCATGGTGTCACAGAGGGAGTTTGAAGAAAATGAAATCACCAAGCGGGACTGCCAAAGTGATGAAGAAAATGTGAGATGAGACAAGGAGGCAAGTGGTGTTTTGTATGGGTGTACACGTGCATTAATCAATACATTCAAACAGGTAGCCTATATATTATTTCTGTTATGACTCCTTTTTGTGTCTCTGTGTGTGTGTGTGTGTGTGTGTGTGTGTGTGTGTGTGTGTGTGGCGCCGGCCCCAAAGCTTGTGTGAAGGCCTGTGGGAGCCTGCCTGCTCTCCTTGTCAGAACATGGACTCTCTCTCTCTCTCTGGGTGGGGCGATGCAGCATGAAGCATTAGATCATTTACATCATATATTTGCTGCACCACACCTCTTTACTGTATATAGTCAAACCAGCTCCCCCCTTCCTCTTTTCCTACTTGCATTCTTTTTGTTCTGTCTTTCTTCTTTTGCATGTTTTTTTTTAAGGGATACTTGTTTCTTGGTTTTGGCGCTATTTCACGTCTTCTTTTTTACTTTAGCTTGTTTTTGTTACTGTTACTTTTTAGCTTGTTTACTTTAAGTCTGACTTTATATGCATTTTTATTTTGTATTTGTTGGCCTGGTCTCCCAGTCTTTTACCATTTGGTTATCTTGATTTCCTACACTTATCACTTTTTTCACGATCTTCTGCTCCCTGCTGTAAAGGCACGGACACACCAGGCCGATTATCGGCGTTGGTGGGCGTCAGGCCGACGATGAGCGTCGACACGCCCTACTCAGATTGGTGTGTCCCGCACCGTCAGGTTTTTACAGTCGGCCAAAGGCAGTCGGCAAAATAAATCACTCTGATTGGCTGTTCAGCTAGCGAATCAGTGCATGAGAAGGGAAACGGAAGTGAGGGTGCATTCTTCACTATTAAGAAGGCAAATCTGAGATTTAATTTAACTCCAGCTCTCGACACAGGTTCGGGAAAGCCCCATGAGCTTCTCGCTGTAGAGTGAAAATGGAACGCACACGCTACTTATTGTTTGTTTATATCACGCAGTCTGTTCTTCTTCTCTTGGTTATATTGTCTTCCGGTTGTTGCCTCTTTTGAATGACGAATACACACTACCGCCGCCTGCTGGTAAGGAGAGTTATTGCCAGTCACGCATGCGCAGTTCGTACATGCTTCTTGGCCGTCGGCTGAAGTCTTTGCGGTGTGTTCCAGTGCGACATATGGCCAAGACGCAGAGACGCGAGGCGACGCAACAGTCGGGGTCCATCTGTGTCAGTTCTTTGTTGTCAGATTGGTGTGTCCGGGCCTTGAGACAAACATTGTGGTCCGTATGAAGTAAAGATGCTCCTGGAAATGTGTCTTTATAGTGTGTACATGTCAACTAGAAAGTGAATAAAGAAAGTAGCTCCCCTCATCTGAAATATTCTTGGCAGGTACTTGGCATTCAGGCACAGGATGCTGCCATTTTTGTCACCTCAGTTATCTCACTTCAAATATACCACGTAGGTCAAGGGTCACTGTCCTGCAGTAGACTGGGAATTAGGCTGTAGGATTGCACAGTAGAAAAGACAAACATTATCATACACAGTACACAGTCTGCTTCTCTTAGTATATACTCTAAAGGTTTCTGCTTATTCCACAACATCCAGCATCCAAATATAATTGATGAACTCACTCATGTGACACATTGTCTGATCAACATCCCATGCCAGGGTTTTGTGTTAACGGCAGCACTTTGTGATATTATGACTCATTAATGTGATGTAAAAAAGCTCTCTTTTTCCTAGTGTTAAATAGAGCTTCAACCATGGTACGGGGGGGGTGTGTGTGTGTGTGTGTGTGTGTGTGTGTGTGTGTGTGTGTGTGTGTGTGTGTGGGGCGCCGCCAGGGATTTTGTGCCCCATGAAAAGATACCCCATTGGTTACTGGTTTCTTAATGTTCTAAAATAGTTTGGGCCCCTGTCAGTCACGGGCCCTTAGAATCGTCCTAACTTTTCACCCCCTTACGGCGCCCTGGCCGTGCGTATGTCACTCTTAAAACAACACTGCAATCATCATCTCCTATCAACGGTCATGTCGAGGATTACAGCTTTCATCCCTAATCCTACATTAAGGACACATTCTCTTGATGGCCGTGACATCATCAAGGCCAGTCCACCACAGAGAGGACACAGACAGGAAGCCAAACACCACAGGAAAGGATTAATGAATATAAGAGACAGAATAAATAATGAAAAAGAAGACAAAAATAGAAACAATAATAATAAACACGGCACATTTCTGTACTGTGTTTGGGACCAGCCTCTGTTTCCGCCCGCTATTTGTATTTTTCAAGATAATCTGCCAATGCTTCAGTTTTTCTGTTAAGATCCTTTTCAATCAGCGCCTAAGACCTTCAAACTACCCAACACCAAAGAGCTTGTGCGCAGATGCACACAAACCGAATGCTGTCAACTTACACATCACACTGCAAGGACTTCATTCTGATAATCTGCACATGATAATGTGCATTGCTATAAACTTGCTGTAAAATAATGTTTACCTTCACTGGCCAAAGTTGGTATATTGTATCCATTTTACTCTAAGCTTGGACCAGGAAAATACCAATTATAGAGATCAATACATTTTTTAGGCTATATTTAAGGGAATTGTAGTAATGATTTATAAACATCATATACATTTAAACTGATAAAACATTTTTTCAGTATCCACAACTACAGCTACTAACTTTATTACTCAAAATGAAACACTGATTACGTGTTTTAATGTTTGACTGTAGAATAAACACATGGCTTAGCTAACATTGACACAGCGCCTTTTGCCTGCATGTGAAGCTTTTTACATTTTGACCAACAATTAGAGTTCCAGTTCTGTCTAACTGTCTTGATTCATTTATTGGGTTTTGATAATGAAAGTGATCTAGATAATGCTGTATGTAGACATTTAGTAATTATGTTATTACTTTTGTAGTGTGTTTAAACTGAGTTTTTTGTATACCTGCAGAGACCCTGGGGCAGTCTCGCAGCATGGGATCCAGCAGGGTGTCCACAGGCTCTGGGCTCGATACCCAGTTGCAACAGTGCTGTAGGAAGAGGGCAAAAAGAAATGTGAGATTGACAATTGAAACTCTACATGTGGAGAGTTATATACAATAAAAAATGACAACCAGCTTCCTCTGCTATTCCTCGTGCACACAAAAACAAATATATGCCTAGAGATTAAAATATAATAATGAATGGGTTTGATGTAAAAATATTTTTTTATATATCTTCAAATGTATTGTTGTTTTTTTTTACTTTATGGAAATATATTAAGTTTAATTGAAATTGAAAGCAATATTAAAAATAAAAAATAAACATTAATGAAGAAAGTGGGATAACAGGGAGGCAAGGGAGACAAAGAAAAAAGGGGGACAGGTGCAGAGGAAAAGTGGAGAGATGATAATCGCGAATGAGGTGTGTTGGGGGAGAGAAACAGAAAGAGAGACAGGAACAAGCAATTAAAAGCTCTGTGACATGTTGCTCAGACAGCTCGCTGTTTGTTTGCGGTGGAGAGCTGAGGCCTTCTTCCATGGTGCATCAGCGGGTGCCCTGGGGGAGGGTGTCTGCCCAGCTTGCTGACCCATAACCCCCTGCAAACACCCCTAGTCCTCTCAAACTCCCTGTGGTAGACAATTCTACTGTCAGAAAGACCTCTTTATCCAGTTTGTGCTGTCTTCATCTTCCTGTCTTTGTGCCACTCTCTTTTGGTCTTACTAGGTTTTTTGAAACACATAAGCATTAAATCTAATGTACAATTAATGAGATGCATCAATGCCACACTTCAAAACAACTCACTATAACCATGCTTTGAGTTTTGTTCTCAGGGTCGGCATATGACAGAATATCAAAGTGTGTTTTCCCTGCTGACCGTGCAGTGTGGATTGGTATGCTGTGGCTTGTAAGGTTAGCACAAAAACAAGGGAAAAGGGAGACAGGGACAGAGGGAGGCTGAGAAGGAATGCTTGGAGAAGACGTTCCCAGATAAGATAAAAGTTCAATAGAAGAAAGAGAAAATGTAAAGAGATTAGAATGTGCAGCTGGCGTCCTTCTGAATCACTGCTTATCTGCCCTTGTTTACTTTCACCCTGGCCCCCTGACAGCCATTACAGTGTTGCACATGCTTGTGTCTGCTTGTGTGTGTGTGTGTGTGTGTGTGTGTGTGTGTGTGTGTGAGGGTCAGTGATTGCATTACGGGGGGTCTCCCACGAAGATGTGTAGCGTTGTGAACCTTTCAAACTCAAACACACACACACACAAGCACGCACACATGATTACGCATTTTTGCCCTCAACAACCCTGACTCCCAAGGTCCTTAAAAAGGGAGGGACAGGATAGAAAGAACTATGAAACGTCTCCCAACTCAACTCCTCCAAAAAACACATTAACACACACACACACACACACACACACACACACACACACACACACACACACACACACACACACACACACACACACACACACACACACACACTGCATACATGCAAAACATTCAGGGTCACATCACACTTCTTCTCAACTGTCATCCTTCAAGTTCACCCCTCCACACAAATGACCACACAACCACACATGCATTCACAAACACAACCTACTCCCAAATATGTTGATGTATTTCTTTGTAAATACCTAAAGGCACACAGGAACAATAAATATACTTGACACCTTATTGAGCTCCTTTTGACTGTTGCTTTTTGTCTGCTTGAGGTTCTGTAACTGTCTACTTGACATGTACCATATTTTCTTTTGTGCCATGGTGATTTATTTACTTACTTTTCTTTTTAGAAACTCATTTCGAGAGTTGATCATGATGAAACATCTGGCCCATAGAGTCAAATACTTAGCCAAAACAAACAAGTAAACTAAATTCATTTGGGAAAAAAAGGTCTGTTATTAAAATAAAGTTTGACTTGTGAGATACATTCCTATCCAATCAAAAATACAATTAAAATCAACTGAATGCGTCTACTTAATAGTAGACATTTCCTTTTAGTCTTCCTTTATGTTATCTTTCTTCAACCCTATCAAAAAAATTGCTAGTTATATAAGGGTTACACTATAACATAAGTGTAGTTGAAGAGAGTTCGGCAGAGAGATGAAGGGGAATGAAGGGGAGGAGGTTGGGGGGGTAGTATTGGGAGAAGATGACAAGTCATCTTGGTAAACAGAGGAATTTTGTGTATTTTTAGATCCTTTGCTTTGCCCTAGATGTGCTCACTCTGAGCCCGGGCAGAGCGGTGTAGAGCCGCACAGAAGCAGTGGGGCTCCTTGACTGCTACATCAAGTGTCTCATTGTATCTCCTTTAATTCATTCAGTCTGTCTGGAGGAAGATGTCAGCTGGGCTGTGGAGCAGTAGGCTAAAGGCGGCTGGAGAGAGAAGGAGGGGAGTCTTTCAAAGGGCCTTCCTCCCTCCCCCTTCACCTTCACCATTGCCACCAATGGAGGCAGGGAGGCCGGGGTTTGAATAGATTTGTCAAGGCAACAACACACATGTGCACGCAAACTCTTGCATAAATGCGCACACACACACACACAGAGCAGAGAGCCACAGTGCTGAGGGAGACCGCAGGCATAACAGCAGTCACATAAAGGCAAGGCCTGCTGGCTTGGATTAGAGAAGGGCAATGTGACAAAAGGATGGCACATCGCATCGGTTGCCTCTGACGCATAGCATCATCACTTCAAGCAGCTCGGTGGCGATCAATGGCGCCATTGAACCAAAGACAGACAGAGAAACAAACATGTAAACAGATTTGACTATCCCCCCATCTCTGCTGCGCTTTGCGTGTAAGTCTGTGTGTGTTTAGGGAATTGTGCTGGATATGCAAACATACATGTACCCCTGTGAATAATTTTAAGTCAAATTGTTGCAAAGTTCAGTTTATTTCACCTAAATTATCCAAGAACAAAGTACTAAAAGGTTTTATAAAGTGGTCAGTAAGAAGCTAAGGCTAAGTGCTAAAACTAACCATCAAACTAAAAGTATGCTCTGAGGGTGGTAATGACAAGCAGGTGTCAGATGTGCCCCTCTACCAATGAGAGATGATATTTAGCCTTCTTTGTTATGTGTATATATGTGTGTTTATGGGTGGTCGTGTGTGTGTGTATGAGTGTGTCTGTGAGTGTGTGAGAGATCCACTACCTGCCGTCTTCTGCAAGTCAGAGTGGAAGCCACACACACACACACACACACACACACACACACACACACACACACACACACACACACACACACACACACACACACACACAGTAATGGACACAAAACACTGCACTTAGCTGAAGGCAGGGTGATCTAATGGAGCCTTCACAAGGACCAAATAGGTGTCTCATAGGTGTCCATATCCACTACACATGTACGAGTACCAGGAATACACACGCAGCCTTTAAAAAGAGATGTGTACTCCCTATCTTTCATAAACTCCATTATATCAGATACCATGAACTCAGGTTGGCCATTTTTATCAGGCCATTATTATCACTATGTAAAAAGGGGATATAAAACAATTTTTTAAGGAGGGATGTGAAATGTATCTTGTTGATATTTGTACGGAAACTGTTCAATATATCTGAATGCAAATACAAAAAATGGGTTGTGTGCATTTTTGCAATCGTCTACAAGTGGCTCCATTTAATGGTTAAACCATATGTCCATATTCTTTCTGAAAGCACAAAAAACGGAGTCCCAAGATAACAAAAATATTTGCCAAAGTGTACAAAAGTCTTCTAAACCATAACACACATGACAGCCTGCAACCTAACTTCTCAGAAAGTAGTCCCGAGTATCAATTCTTGCTCACTCTCTCTCTGTGTCTGCCTCTCTCCCACCTCCAGTTGCTGTATAATCTCTATGGATTAGGATGGTTTATTCATGACCATAGTGTACTTTGTATGTGTGTGTGTGTGTGTGTGTGTGTGTGTGTGTGTGTGTGTGTGTGTGTGTGTGTGTGTGTGTGTGTGTGTGTACGTGTGCTCTGGGCAGGCCACTAGAGTGTGACAGCAGGCCAGCACAGTGACAGGAGACACCTTGGAGACTGTGACAGGCTGCCAGCTGTACACCATCATTCGCATTTCTCTCTCTCACTTACTTCTCCTCACTATGCTACTCATCTATCTCCACATACATCTCTTCATCTCTTTCCTCCATCTGTATTCACTCCATTCATATCCTACCTGTCTTTTTGTTTTTCTTTTCCACAGCTCTAACCTGTGGTTTCTCTGCGGCAGTCAACGGGAACTAAATAATTGAACGCTTCTCATACTTTATTTCTTTCTGTCTCCCTCAATGCATGGAGTCTTTCTTCTTCTCCTTATATACCCCTGCCTTATTTTCTTTCTCTCACCTTCACTCTGTGTTTTGTCTCCCGGCGGTGACGTCAGTTGCCCCTCGTCTGACCCATTTGGCCTACATCACCTGGCCCAGCAGGAGCGGATCTCCAAATCCCATCTCCTCTCTTTTACTTTCCTCTTCTCGATGCTCTATCCCACCATCCAGTGACCTCGTGAACCCTGGAGGGAGGGAATTATCTCTGTCCGAGGAGAACAGAGCAAGGCACTGCTGGGGTGCCCCGACCTCACATGCCCCCACTCGTACAGGCACCCACATTTATACACCACCCAGGGCATTATGCAGGGTTCACTGCTAGCTCCCCTCTGTGATATGCACCACCTTCTGCCCTTCCTGTGTGTGCTGTGTATTCTTGTGCTCTAGTGAGCAATCCGAGTGTTGTTTACGCTCAAGATCCAGCTGTGTTTGGGTCATTCATATAGATGTATATAAAGATGTAAAAAATGAGAATTATTAGGATTTTTCTGTGCACTAACAACTGCATGCACTTGTAGTCATTCCAAGCTAGACATCAGAAACAGAGCCAATGATAGAAAGCCGGAGATCATTTGCATATTGGGTGGATCACAGAGGGACTATGACCTTTTGGTGGAACCACTGCACATACAAAGCATTGGTTTCTAATGTAAATGACTAGTGACACATTAATGGATTTAACTCAATCCTAAAGCTGGCCCGGAGCATGTTCCATGCCCAAAAGCCAGGGACTCGATGACATTTAATTGACTGCCTTATTTGAGTTATTTTCCCCTTAAACAGCTCTACAGTATTTACCATTGATAGTTGTCTCAGTCTTGTTTTATAATTAGCATGATTAGACTATAATTAGACTATTTTTGACTGAAAATGTTATTCAGTAGTATCTTTTTTTACTATCTATCTTTCTAGATTGAAAGAGGAAAATGAATCACACGTTGTCTTTTTGATAATTAAGTTCAAGTTACAAGTTCATAAGATAAAACACACTTTTGTGTTGTTGTTAAATACAATTTATGTAATGATTTACATAATGAGTTTAATGGTCCCTAAGAGAAATACATAGAGTATGAACATTGTTTTGGAATTAGCAAACAGTAATGAGTGCACTTTTAGAAAAGTGAGCCTTAAAACGTATTGTTTAGCCTGATTATTAAGAATTTAGGGAAAAGAGGACAAACAAAACCAAATCTGAAAGCAGAAGAAATCTATAGAATGTAGTATACAAGTTTTTGTGGTATCAAAATTCCCTTTAATTAGGTGAGCTCCTCTAAGTCAGCCAACAATTGCTGTGGGTTAATGAATACAAGAGAGAGTGAATCATTTCCTGTCCCCTAACTCCGACTGGACAAAGAAGGTTATTGCAGATTTATTGTTCTGGGTAATCATCACAAATAGAAAATCACTTAACGTTCCAATTATGCAGTGTCCCGAACATCCCTTAGATGAATCAAAAATAGGAAATGCCAGACAAGGAGAAGGGGGCCAGTGCAACCTTGAATCCCCAACTATCCTACAGTACATACACATTCACCAACAAGTCACACACAGTCAACGCACAAACCACACAGTCCTTCGAAATGGGAGATGACAGAAATAGCAAAAACAAAAGGCAAGGGATATAAAAGAGGATGTTATACAAATAAAGTGTGTGTGTGTGTGTGTGTGTGTGTGTGTGTGTGTGTGTGTGTGTGTGTGTGTGTGTGTGTGTGTGTGTGTGTGTGTGTGTGTGTATGACATTTGCATCTCTGGCTCTCAAGCAGCTCTGGTCTTGGATGGTCCTCATCTGTATGTGCATACTGAGTGAGCCCAGGTGCTGCATATGGCGCAGAGGTCACACCAGAAAGGGCAAGTGCTAAAATGAAGCTAACACAAATGCACATGTGCACGTGCATTCTATCTCACACGCTTACCCACACATAGCACATATAAACACATGCATGCATGCACATATGCATGCCCGGCCGCATACACACGCACCAGCGAGAGATGACCGTCTTAGTTATTCATTGACATGCACCCAGGGAGAAAAAGTGGGGTCTTGTTTTAAAAAATAAATATATAGCCAGCGAGGGAAAACATGCAAACAATGGGTCTCTATGACTTCTAAAGCTAGCTGTTGGTCAGGGGTACTTGTGAAGGTCAGTGGGTTGGTGCAGGGAGAAATCAGAGAGGAGCAATATCCAAGAGACCTCCGCTCACCGTTGGGTGAATTTACATGATGAGATGGGAGCTCAGGAATAGATCCCTATACAGTTTGCAGTGTCTTTGTTTGCCTTCAGTCTGTGTTTGTGTATTTGCACGTGTGGTCATTTCACCTGCTGCATCCAGTCCTGCGTGCCTTTGCTGGTCTCCTGCAGCCAGATATTGTGAGCCGAGTCAGTCAGAGCCACAGCACACACCTTTTCCTTCAACTCGGTTTCCCTCTGATTCATCTGCCACAAAAACCACATTTAAAATGTGTTAGTCATCTTTGCAGAATGTTTATGACAGTCACTGTTCAGGAGGACATGTTTTGTTTCAGACAACATTTGAACAACAAAGAAACTGTATACTTTAAGAGGTATGATAACCTCTATAATAGTAATATATGCCGCACCTATTGTGTCAGTAGATACTCACCTAATAACATTCCCTGTCGAACATACACTGTCAGCCTACTCCCTGGACTAAGATAGCACTGGCCCAGTGGACAGGGAGTACAGATACAACCTGGTGTATAGCATAATGTTATGAAGTGAAATATGAAAGAGCTGCTCCGCCATAGTGTCCTTGTCACGTTCTGTGCAAATGTCCTTCCCCGTGCACGTTCAGATACCTCTGTCCCCATTCTTAATACCCTTTCCCTTCACATGTCACAGAGAATGTGGCTTCTGCAGGCCCGTCTTCCCTATTCCCCTCTGAATGTCAACGCCAAGGAAAATGTCACGCAAAGGACTTGTTACCGCACTACAATAGACTTCCCCCACCGCTGGTCTCACCCCAAGGAGCACTGTACGCATGCCTTGGGAACGAGCAGTTTCACTCGGCTTTGCTTTAAGATAAAACAGGTAGAAAAGAGGACAGGACTTGCAACAATAGGTTAACAATCGTTTACATTTATTGCAGCTGGGAAATATACTAGTGGACTGGGTACGGGCATAATCTGTGGACTGAGTTTGGTGATTCCCTGGTCATCTACACATGGCACAAAAGCCATACATATCACTTTCAATGCCATTTAAAGGAAGGACAAATGTGTGTTTGTTCTGGACGACTGGACTGCTGTTGGGCTTAACATTGTGCTTATGGTTCAGTGCCTGAAAATAAAACAAGCAAGTCAGTGGGAGATAAAGATAATGTTAAAGCTAAGAAAGTGATAGGAATATCAGGGCTAAATGGGTGCCTTCATGTAAGAATAGGATACATATTGGCCTCAAAGCCCAAGTGTAATAAAACAAAATAGGGTTGAGGCTAGTGTACAAAGCTAAGGTTTTTGGAAGGCATAGAGGGTTTAAGCTGTTGCTATTATAAATCGAAGTTTGATACTCACAATGGGCCATGGCTGGAGACATTACCAGTCAAACACACATTCACAGACAATGGCCATCTACAGCCAGCTAGATTGGATGTACATTGGCTGTACATCACAATGATGGTGGGCATTTGAATATATCCTCCCTTGCCCAGACAAATTAAAGTGGGAGTGTATAGAGATAAATTGAATCTATTAGGGTACTAAGGACTCATACATCATACAGCTGATAAGGCTTCCACGAGACTGCTTTACTGGGCTGGAGGATAGAGCAGACAGAGACAAGCATAAAAAAGTGGAAAACTGTAGAGATCGACAACAAAAGAAGACAGACGCCACACATGTATTCACAGACACATATGCTTGCTCACACAAAATCATACAACCACACACACACACACACACACACACACACACACACACACACACACACACACACACACACACACACACACACACACACACACACACACACACACACACACACACACACACACACACACACACACACACACACACACACACACACACACACACACACACACACACACACACACACACACACACACACACACACACACACACACACACACACACACACACACACACACACACACACACACACACACACACACACACACACACACACACACACACACACACACACACACACACACACACACACACACACACACACACAGTACTCACTCCTCATCCACGCTTGGTTGAAAAGCTTTCCTCTGGCAGAACTGGGCCCGTGGGGCTAGCAAAGTCAACCTTTTAAAACTGGAGGTGTCAGTCAAGGTCCTGTTTTCTGGCGCTAGCCAAACGAGCTAGTCCCTGAGTATAGGGGCTACTTGCAGAGGCCAGGAAACAGGAGACAGTGGACTGACTGCCCATGGAAAAAGCTAAGCACATGAATTCAAACCAGTCAAAAACATTGCCAAAGTCTCAGCAGAAAAACTGAACATTTCAACTTTCCAAGAGGAAATAATAAATAGGTCTCTACTTGCTACTATTTTATGCCCTTTAAAACATCTGAGTCGGATTTAGTTTTACTTTTGAAGGAAGATCTAGTTTTTATGTGTACGGTTCACTGAATATCAAGAGTCTAACTGAGCTATAATAAATCTGTTCACTTATGCCAAGGTGAACTGTGTGTGTATAAGAGTGTTGTAGTTCCAGTAATCCAAAATTCTGTTGTCCAAATTCACAGTGGGTCACTTTTTGCTCACCACTAGCATCTTGTAGAATTGAAAACCCGCTAGGAACTCTAAGCATTTAAACCTCTGCAAACCTGTAAAACATATAAAATGTCTAAAGAATGTAGGAGCCTTTGTTTGCGTGCGTGTGTGTCATGTTCGTGAATGTCTGGTTGCACAAAATAGTAAGAATGGATGTAAGCAGATATGAGAGCAATGCTCACCAGAGGCGGAAGTTGGAGGAGACACAAGTGAATGACGGACAGCGGTTATACAAACATTAAAGTGTGTACAAAGAAAGACGCACAGCTAGTAAGAACGGAGAGAAGCTGGGTTGTGTGGAGTTGGATATGTTTGGACAGTGCAATAATATTATCTTAATTTAACATCAAGCATACAAGTGACTGGAGAAATGGTGGAGTTTTTTCAAAATGGGATATCAAGACCTTTAAAAATCCTAAAACTGCTGCACTCAAATTGATTGGATCCAGCATTTGTGGATGTATTTTAAAGCTAAAACTAGTTTTCCTTTGCACTTCTAAACCACCTTTCTCTTTGATTTGCCATTTAAAGATACTCTCACAGTGTTGTATATTTGCTGAAATGAGGGGGGAATATAAATCAGCAACTCTCACCAAACAGAGTGTGTTTTCATGATGATGCCTCTAACTGAAGATTAAAGACCAAAGAACTCCTCCTCCCCGCACTGGCTATATCAATCACTTGTTCTGACAGCTCTTGTTGCCGCAATGCTTACACACATATGTTAGCCTGTGGTAACAGTTGGGGTAATAAGGTTGACAAATAATGACTTTAGGAAAGAGTGCTCTATGCAGTGTGGCCTAAGACCACAATGATTTTGACACCACTGGTTCCCATGTTTTACAAGCCACAATGACAACTGTGGTAAGCTGCACGTTGAAAGCTAAATCTAAGCATGTCTGTGTCCTCTGCAGGGTGGTTGATTCTCATGGCTGACTAACAAACCAGTTGGCCCTATGCTCCCAAGTGGTCAGCAGTCTCATCATATGACTCATCCTGTTATTATTTTTACACCATGTTATCCTTTGAATTAGTGTTAGCTATCTTTATCCAAAATGTTAATGTGCTAATCCACTATGTAACCGCAGACCGTAGCTTTAACAAGGAAACAGGCCAGCTGTTGTGATCAGTCTTGTATTGGACAGGGAGATGTGAAGAGAAACATGTGGAAATACTTGTTGAGCTAAAACCAGCACACAGATGTTGAGACATTTGCCGCCTCTCCGCTGGCCTTCCCTTTAACGCTAAAGCAGCTGGATGTGCAGAGTAAAGTTCAGGTGGGGGTTGGACAAGGAGGCTTGCGTATACCATTTTTTTCATTTCAAGAAAAAGGTTTGTAAGAAGGGACATTTGAATGGATTTGAACAGTACTGTACAATGAAGGGAGAATAGAGAAAAAGCAGGTGAGCGATAGACAGGCAAGATGAGCACAACAAGGATATTTATGAATGCTCCCCAAGAGGAAAATACTCTTTTCCCTTGACCCTCTTCAAGGGGAGATCAGACCACAGGGTCGGCTACACAACAGCATAACTGACACGAGTGGGCTTTCACTGTACTTAAGACATAAGCAGAAGCTTAAGTGGAAACGGTGCGTCCCATCAGGGTCCAAACCAGAGTCCTAAGGTAGAAGATAGGTTTCCTTACTTAATAGAGCACCTTGATGAAATGTTGAATCACTTGTCTGATGTACTTCATTATGTTTTGCATCATTGCTGACTCATTCTGATTCAGTTAAACTATCAATGCCTTTTTCGCTTCATGATTTAGTGCGCTACAAAAGGTCTAAAATACATTTCTCATCCTATTTTTGACACGCTTTTTCGAAACACTATCTCAAACTGTGATTTAAATGTAGTTTGATCGCAATACACATCACGTTCACATTCCCCTGAACCACGATAACAAAGCTGAGTCACAACTGATGACGCAGCCTTGAGTTCACACCCACCCAATTTACATTCAAACTCTGGATGAACTTTGAAATCCCTCTCACTTTCCCCCCCGCCCTCATCTCTGATTCTTCCTCATACACTATTTTCTCTTCTGACTTCTCTGCATAGGGTCTGGTTGCTATAGGGACCTTCAAACATCACAGCTTTCTGACCCCCTCGTTGGCACATTTCTACTTAATCCAGCTTTTCACAGGCTCTATGGCATAGCCATCCCCCACGCATTTGGACCCACTCAAACACATGCACAGAGACTTTTCTCTAACCCCTGACCTCTCACATGGCCCTCAGCAAAGTACAGTGTTTAGCCCTTTAAGCTGATTCCTGCCACAAAGCCAGCTAATTGCTAGAGTTTTTGTTGTGCATAATCGTATTTATCATGTATGTGATATGTGATTGGTTAGTGTCTGTGTACGTACATGTGGGGTGTGCGCATGAAGGAGGGAAGGGGGACATATTAATCATGTTTATTTATCTGGACGAGGAGTTGGAATCAGCAACGAGACATCATTTAACAGCATGCTAAGCTAATCTCCGGTCGAGATAAATACCTAATTTCTCTCCTCTCCCTGTGACGCTCCCTTGGTCGGGACTGCTCCGCTGATGCTACATCTAAACACCGGCAATAATAAAAACAATTATTTAGGCCTTAGATAATTATGTGTCAAAGGCAGCGAAAGCCACTAGATAATTGGGAGAAAACTGAATGGTAATCCACAATGGAGATCCCCGTGGGGAGAGAGGCAGACTTATCCCTAGAAAGAATACAGAGCGAGAGAAACAGACATAAAAGATGAGAGCTCTTTAAGGGGCCTTGCTTACAGTCAGATAGTCAATGTGAAAAGCCACAATTATACAAAGAGAGAAAGTGCAAATAGAGAACAGCAAACAAGAAAAGGAAAAGCAAGGGCTACAGAGAGAATGACAAAAAATGAGTGAGATTGAAACAGAGGAAAACATTTTCAGCGTTACTGGGAGTGAGCGAAGACTGAGCAGAGGCCAAGGGGAAGGAGGAGACAGAGAGCGAGAAGCGCCCCGCGACGATGCCAGTCAGAGACGAGGCTTATAATGTGGCTGCGCCATGCACTGCCAACGGCCACAGATAATCTAGGACTACCCACAGAGCACTGAAGCACTGCTTAAATATTTGATTGATTAACTGTCCTGTTGCTGCCAGAGAGTAAGAGGACAGCATCGTAGAAGCCAGGGCGAACACAGAAAAAACAAACAAACATGTATGCGGGTGCACACCGGAAGGTTGGAGAACACATGGCGCGGACACACTAACACAT